CCCTGAGGTACTTTTTCATCCGGGAGCTAGTACTACGGGGACAAATCACTCTTCACCACCGGCCCAGCGAGCACCAGTTGGCTGATATCGCGACCAAGTACCTCCCAAAGCACCAATTCGCCTCCATCATTGAGCAGATCAAGGACTTCTCGTGTTGATCGAAGATCTGTGAAGCTTCCCTCCATACCCGCCATACCAGAAGGAGTATATTTTCGATACANAGGAGGGCTTCCAGAAATCATTCTGGAAGCATTCTGGATCTTTCGTGTGATTGGCTTATTTGTCCGGTATTCGAGAAGAAAGAGTGGTGCAGCCCTAAGCTCGCCCACTCCTCTCACTCCTCTTCAGTACCAGCAACATCTGACTCGGGAGTCAGCAACTAATAAAAGCATCTCCATATTTCCATTCCAAGTCTCTCGCGGTTGGAGACGCACAGAGTGTGAACCTCTGAGGTAGGCTACACAGCCTCCTGGCATCTGCAGCATCGTACTGCTGCTAGTGCACAGCGAAATATCGCTGACAGTGACCGACTACTACTGTATACTACTGCTGCTGTAATCCAGCCGGTTTCCCTCCATTCACTGCAAAGACTCCAACACATCCCGTTCGACCGTAGTTGTATCTCGAAGGGCTTCTCTCCGTGTCCGTACCATTTTTTAAAATATTTTCTAACCGATCCTCACCAATCTTCCCTTGAGTACATCGATGGTCGCAAGGCTGCACTCCGCCACCTTCTGGTAGCAGCACGGCTCAAATCAGTGCACACTCGCCAGGTCGAGTGGTCGCGCTGGCGGTGTTTGTGTGCAAAGAACAGGTCCATGTGTTGATGCCCCGTGTTTGTGTCTATTTGGTATGATGGTTTGATTAAGTAATTGTGATATATACTTCTAGACTAAATATATATTTTTTTGCCTTCCGACAATTGCAGATGTACCTCAGAAAACTTTCACTTAATGTCTCATACTCTACATGAATATTAAACCAATACGAAGTACAACAACATATGTAGACTAGAACATATTTCTACCGTCACTTACATCGTAAAAATATCTCCTCTTCAGTTTGAAATAAAACCAATGACAATCCACATGGTATCCTACATGCGTTCGTAAGCTTGCTAAAATACTATTAATACTGTTACTGCGTTGATGTCCTCTTGTAAAAGCTGATATCCAACAAATGCGTTGATCCATGCTACATCTCCGTGTTGGAAAAGCCCTTTCTTCTCCGTTCATGATAACATCTTACCCTATTCTACGCAAATCTGTCACATCTACTCCCAAACAAGACGCCAACTTCAAACGAAAACGCGTTCTACGATGCGTCTACACTCCATCCTCATATCATTGGCGTTGACTGGTTCGAGGTCGATCTTGTTCGCCTGTTTTCGGCGTCTTGACGCCCGCGCAATGCGAGCTTGTACCTCTGCACTCGCCGAGATATGGCCACCTGTGTAGCCACCGAAACGATCCGAGGAAGTCGTTCCTTGAAGACTCCTTTCAGAGACATCGTTCCTCCATCCCTTCCTCCCGCGGCATGTGTCGCAAGTTCATCGATGAACTCGTAACCCTCCTCTCCAAGGCGGCCAAAGCTTTCCACGGCTAAGGTGGTAAGTTTAAAGCTGCGTTCGTCAAAGGACACGTGTCCCGGACGAGCGTAGTGCTGACGCTTTCGCGCCTCGGATGCTTGGGCTGCGGTTCCATCGCTGGTCGCGATATTGCCGTATAGCTATCGCTTACCGTGAATAGCCCGACGAACCGCAACAAACACAGTCAGCAGCACTACAGATAGCCCGACCTCATCGCAAACTCACGGGACCTGCATGCATGTATGCCTTCCCTGATATACCTCGACATTATGCTCGCCGAGTCGCGCACGCTTCGACTGTTTTCCGAGATATACTCTCGGCAGGAGGATCCATCGCAACTCAGGACAACGTGAGGTTATACACATTTCATAACGTCGGTTGGCTGTAGTGCAGCTACAACATTATTTTTCCTAATGTCGTCTACGTACTACCGCTATAACTCCCTTCCCATCACCGACATAATTTTAAGAGCCACAAAAACAGCGTTTGCTTGGTCTAATCATTGTGTCATCGGGCAAGTTGCATCCGTAATATTGTCACGTCCCCTTCCAAGTCCTACAATTTACAACAGCAGCTACCACGTAAGGTACCTTAATTAGAGAGAGAAAAGTCGCCCGCGATGAATTGATTGGCCAATTTTTGAAGGACCGTTCCAAAAAAAGGGCAAAAAAATCCTGGTGGTCCGATGACGTCATTCACGACGACGAAGCCGCACGTTATCTCTGATTTAAGATAAAGTCACACCATCAGACTAGTCAGCTGAGCGTATATCTTTTGTAAGATAAAGTTACACCATTAGTCTAGACTTGAAAGGTAAACTACGCGGGGTGCAGCAAGCACGTTCTGGACGTTACTTGGGGCACTGGGTAGTCGGCCGTGTTAGACCGAGAGAGAGAGGTTGAGAGAGAGTTGGAGAGAGAGTGGGAGAAGGAAACTTGATTGGAGAGAGACGGTGGTGGTGGTTGAGAGAGAGAGGGAAGAAGTGCGCAGCACGCACGCAAGCTCCATCGCACCAACCACGCCAAAAGGATCCCCGTGACTGCACCGGTGGTACCCTACTACACACGAAATTCCCAACACGTATCCCCTGGGATCCTCACGACCAAATACTGCTGCGAGTATATCTAACATCTCCCCTGCTCGCACCAGTCTCTCACTGAAAACTTCGCTAACACCCGATATCTCAACCAAAAGACGTCTTTCCCAGACGATATGCCACCAAGACTTCACCAGAATAACATAAGAGAAAGAAAACAATTCAAAGGAATTTGAATGCTGCATCGCGCGTAACAAATACTTGGCGCGGGAAATGAAAGAAAACGGGAAACAAAACGAGAAACAAAACAAAGCAAAAACACAACCTATCAGAAAAACAACAAAATGTTTATGCCAAATTCATCACAAAATCACGGTGAGATGTTAAGGAGTGTTGCTGTATGGCACAGATAGGGTACACAGTCGGTCTAGATTAAGATGGGGGACGTCAGGAGGTAT